AAAAAAAACAGAACTATATAATTGAAGTGAAGTTTAATTTGTGCATTGCAGACATATAATGATACTTCCTTTGACTTAAAAACTACATTCTGAGGTTTAGTATATTTTATTACTGATTATCTTAGGTGAAGCTGAATAAACCACTAGGTGGCTCTGTTAGATGAGGTAACAGTAGCTAGGCAGTTGGTATAGGAACAGTAATAGTGAAGCAGATTGAAACGGGCACTGATTGATGCACTGCATCTGGGGAATGGAACAAAGAAAGAGTGGCAAAAAGTGGATCTGCCACTTGCAGGCACACAAATCAATAGTCCCAACAGGCAGCAATTCTTGTACGGGTATGAGGGTACAGAAAAATTGGAAGAAGTATTTAAGTAACACTAAGACAGAGGGGGTGGTCAGTTAGAAATTATTTGAGAGGTTTAGAGTGTTTTAAATGTGAGGATACCTGTGGTTTTCACTGGGAAATGGGAATTTTATAGTGATGGATATAGAAAGCACAGAAGAAACTGTAGAATAAGTCCATATAAGCTCCTGATTTTGACTCGGCACCTTTCTCTTCAAAGCACAATGTTGATATCACAAGATATCACATGTTATTGTGGGCTGTTTGTGTCATAAATGGATTGGTTGGGAAGGGGGACTAGAAATAAATTATTAGATTATTAAAGGCATTAAAGACAGAACATAGACTAGAGAACAATTATAACCAATGATGGGTGTCATTGGATCTTTAATGACCAAGTAGCTTAGTCTTTGGTGAAACATCACCATTCTGGGCTGCTAATTTGAAATTTATGTCCAAAGAGCAGAGCACCGGTCCACCAACACTATATACAGTAGCACCCTATTCCTTAGGAGTCTCCCATCCCAGTATTGGCCAGGCCTAAGCTTGCTAAGCTTCTGAAACTTGGTGAAATGAAGCTAAAAGGGTCATAAAACTATGTAAACTGAAATCCATTATTCTGATTAGAGCGCAGATGGAAACTGGAGAACTAGGCTAATGTTACAGTGGTTGAGCACCTCTTTTGGCTTTCTCCCCGGGTTCTTAATTACATGATTGAGATATTAATTTGCGAGCTTGATTTAACGCATTTAACCCTTTTCCCACATCTTCAGCCGTAAGCCATTTAAAGAGCTTGGCAAGTGTATATAGTATATATTTACTGTCTTATATTAATATTAATTAATGAAGTGATCTTCAGCACCCAGTAAATTAACCAAGCAACCAGTTGCTTAATTTGGTTTGGTTTTAATTTGTTTAGTGGAATGTTTTAAGTCCTGAAATGGCATGTAACAGAAGTGCCGAGGTTGACTACCCCTGATTTAACCACTTAATCTACTACTAGCCTCTCAGACTCCATTTGGTGCCATATGACTCCTGTTATTAAACTAATTGGTAAAAAGAAATGAGGGTGGTGAAAGTACTTCCATAGCTCTTAACATCATGCAGTTTCATTCACGGGAAAAACTTTTACCTAAATCTATTATATAACAAATGACAAAGAACAATTGGCAAGTAGCGTGTATGGCTTTGATCCTCAAGGGGTAGTAAACGTCATGAGTACTGTAATGTAACACTTACCTAGTAAATGGCTGTTACATTGTTTCAGCGGTAAACAACAGCTGGACGTTTTTGCGACTTTTCCTGACAGCTTTACAGTGAACCACAAGATGACCTGGTACAGTAAAAGAGTGCATTCCTTAACGGAAAAGTAAAAGAAAAGTGTTGCCAAAAATATCATTTGGTAAAAAAAACGCACAAGTCTGCATACGTATTTGTACACTTCCCCAGTACTTAACCCGATACATTGCGGCGCTTTTGTAATTTGAAGCTTGCATTGTGAATGAATTGACAGGAAGCTTTTGCTTAGAAAAGAGAATATGTTTTATTCGTTGCCGGGGTGACATTTAAACATCACATTTGATCCTGGCTTCGGACTGCTGCGCACAGTGCCAGCCAGGACACAGATGGCGTCCCCTGCTACTGTAATTACACGCTCTAAAACGCTTCTCTCCTGTCTCATATTGGTGTAACCCGTGGGCAGAAATTAAACAATCATAGCACATCTCCCCGCAAAAGAGTACCGTCTCAGCTATTCCTACTACTATTTGTGTCTGAAGAAAATGCAACAGAAATTCTTTTGGAAATTAAAAAAACGTTTAAAAGCCATTGTGTTTGTTATCAAATGTCCACTAAATGTCTAGATATCTAATTCTTTCACAGGAGACACGCTTAATGGAATTATATATTATAAAAATCACTGAAGTCCACCTACTTTATCGTTAACCTTTTGAACAGCGTTTTATAGTATGCAGAAAAAAAACATTACATTTTACTGACTCACCACAGTGATGTCTTTCTAGTGCGACTTTCAGTAGAAAAGTTTCAGATCATGACTAGAACTTTCAAGTTTAACTTTTCAAAACCCAATAGAGTCTAATTTATTACAGCATCACTTTTTAAGAGACAGTTTACTGCGGATAATCATTAAATTACCATTGGAAGTTGACAGGTGAGCAGTTTAGACAAGTACACAATTTCTAATTTCTACTGGAACCAACCAGAAATGTATACTGGGTTTTTGATTTGTAAACCAAATGTCATTTAATTCAAAAGCGAGAAGCCTGTAAATCTTTTACAAAGATGTGAAATGGTATGTGTGTACATGTGAAAGTATTTTGCCTCGATACAGAATGTTCAATTAGGTTTTCTGTGCGAAATCGGTCTAGGTTACTAATGTTATATTAAAACGTCGCTCTTAGTTACATGTGTACTTCGATTAAAAAGGAGTGCAACTTTCACCCTTAGTATTTAAAGGTATTCTGTGTCTTCTCTAATAACCTGCCCTGTCTCAGCTAAGGAGTGAGTGGCAGCGCCGCGCTCCTCCCACCTTCCCTGCGCCCGCAGAAACAACATGGACGCCCCTATGAGCCGGACCTGGCACTGAGCTACCGGCAGGATCACACTGCAACATGTGTAACAATGTTTCTAGGGTCTTGAAAACTACCGCAAGGGTAACGGGATGTTAGGTGAGTAAAATGCAATGGGGCACTATATAAATGATTTTCTCTAACTCCGTATACGTGTTTCACGTTATTATGTTGTTTCATACAATCTGGGAATTCCTCCAGGTCCTAGTGCCTGTAAAGTCATTGGCACGGTACCGTCGTAGTCTTAATTTCAGCATATACACAGAAGAAAGCACACCATTCATTTAGAATGCAGTTGCGGTATATCGGCAATACTTAAAATATATAATAATATAAATTTCGGGTTATATTTTTAATTAATTTGTCATCTTTCCTTCTGCTTGAAAGCACAAGTATGCGGCGCCTTGTGCAATTTTAGTCGTGTGATGGTTATCTATATGAAATGTGTACATGCTCTGATTCCTATGAACGGGATGATTCTGTTATCGATGGGTTCGTTTTAATTCTACACTTACATGTACTGTGTTTGAGAGGGCTCACGAGCCTTCATTTAAGGATTGATCTATATACTGTATATTATATACTGTTTACTGTATATTGTTAGCTTGTTGTAAGAAAAATCCTGTTATATCAGCTTTTATGTTACATAACATCATAAAATACTAGTCACCTTCTGAAAAGAAGGTGGTTAATTATATGGTATTTGTAATTTGAACGTTAATGCAAACTGTGTTTATGCTGCTTTGAATGTACTGCAGCTGTCTGCTTGTACCTTAATGGACCCGAAAAGCTCGGTTCGTACAGCCATTAAGAAAAGGGAATTACATTAAAAAAGGGGAGTATTACAGGCAGCTCTTAAGAACCATAATCATTTATTAGATTGTTGTTGTTTTACATGGTGTAAAGTTATTATAACATAATTATTGTAATTAACAAGAAACGAATTTTGTATATGGATAGGCATTTTTCAACCTATACAGACTTAAGTGATATATGTATGCTTTACAGGAAGCATGTTGGTATTGTTGACCACCAATAACA